GGGCGGGGGGCTGCGCTTTTGCAATCAATAATTCAACGACGACACGACCACCAGCGCGAGCCAGCAGTAACAGCAGAGAGGGCCCAAGATGAGGCTTCCCTTACAAGTTTTTTTTTTGACCTTCGTGTGCCACCCGCCTTTCCGACGCACGTTTGGAGCTCATCTCCTTCGTCGTCCAGCTGGGCCCCTCTGTGCGCCGCCCACAGCGGTACCAGTCGCCTTCCCCGCGCGCAGATCGCAAATTCGGGATCGCCGACGAAATGAAAATCGTGGAGGGTACTTTGGGTCGGTAAATAGGCCAACCCAGGCCAGCCCAGGCCGGGCCGGCCCCTGCTGAGCCCGGCTGCCCGGCTGCTCGGCCGGGGCGGCGGCGGGAAGGTGAAGCCATTTTCGTGATGGACGATTACGCCTGACGTACACTGCTCCCGCGAGCGTTTCCCTCCCCTCCCTGCTTCCCTGTTGTTATTGTTTTTGCTACCGCCACTGGGGATGCTGGAGGCGGAGGGGAGGGTGGTGGTGGTGGCCGGGGAAGTGGAAATATTAATAATAACACGCGGATCGAGCCGCGTCAGCCCCGCCCAGCCGCCCCGCGCGCTGGTCGCTCTCCACCTACCGAGCACTAGAGCCAACTAGAGCTATTACCATGCCGTCCCTTGCCGCGCTGGCCCAGCCTCCCTGCTCGTGCCCTCTCTCTCTTGCTCTGCCGCCCACTCTCTCTCTCTTGCTCTGTATCTTTCACTCACTGCCCTACATCCCGACTACAGACGGCCCGTCACCATCCCGGCCCTCCTCCTCGTGCACGTGGCGACGCTCGGCGGGGCGTTGTCGCGGTGGCGAGGGCGATCTCCGCCGGGGAGCGCCGAGAGCAATATTCTCGACTAAATCCGGCATCATTACAGCACAACGAGCAGCAATCTCTCCCGCCCTCCTTGTCCCCCCTGCCGCCTGCCTTCCGCCATCCTGTAACTTGCGGCGTCCGCCCCCCTCGACCCGCGCCGAATAAGCAGACGGGACGAGAAACAAATTATTCTTTCTCGATGAATATTTCAGCTCGCGCTGAGAATTGCACATAAAACTACGACCCCACACCCCCCCTTCTTCCCCCCGCACTCTCCCTCCAGCCCCTCACCGTAATTTGCCCTTCCTTTCTCCTATCATCCTAACCGCCTGGCTGGAGTTGCCTGCCAGCCCGCCTTTCCCCACCTCCTCTTCCCCAAACCTTTTCCACCCCTTCCGCCCCCCTAACCGCACCCCCTCCCCCGCCGCCTCGCAACGCGTTGCTGCCTATATTTTAGAGACGTCATCTGCTCGCAAACAGCGTGAAACTCCTCCGCATTTATAACAGCATTTGTCGCCCTTGCTCCCTCCCGCCGGCCCCACCACCACCGTGCGCTGCGACTCTCCCTTCTACCCTTTCCTGCGAGCGGCGGGGCCGGCGCGGCCTGCTGCGCTCAGCTGAGCGGCGGGGCGGGGCGTGGCGGGGCCCGCTGAGAGTGGTGGCGGTGGTGGGGCCGGGCGTGGTGCGAGAGACCGTGGTGCTGTGTGTATCGTGGGATGAAAAGCAGGCAGGGGAGCGACAAACACTGCCGAAATGAAGAAGGGGGTGCAAAAAAAAGGGGGTATGGCGTGGCGACGTCCTCACTGTTGACACTCCTCCGCGTCCCCAGGAATTTCATTACTGGGTAACTTTTATTTTCATCACATTTCCGAAGATGGTGCGCTGCGTGCGTTCTTTTTACGGCTAAGGCTTTCCATCCGACGAGTGTGTAGTAGTACGTAGCAGGGGAGAATGGAAAGATGTCGGGGGGTGCTTGCGTCTTCTTGCGTGTGAGGGAGGGAATGTAGGGTCGCGACATGGTGTTTTATTTTCGCCGCCCGTCCGTCCGCCCGCGCGCCTCGCTGCTCCGCCGTGCTCTCTCCGCTCTCCACACGCACCTCTCCGGGGTGGCGCCGGGCGCCGAAGCAGAGAGGGGCCAACACCTCAGGTGACACGCCCGGCCGGGCCCCGGCCCAGCAGCCCCCGTGGCACGCTCGGTTAACTTCTCGGACGACGTGACGTCAGGTGACGTGGCGGTCCTCTGCTCGTCGCTCGTCCCGCTTCTCTGCTGGTCGAGTGGTGCGCTGTGTCCGTTGTGTCTCTGCCACTGCCAGGAGGGCCTGCGATGGGATTGGGGGCAAGGGGGAGGCAGGAGCAGACAAACAAAAAGTAGAGGACTCGCATTTTTCTCGTTTTGTTTTGAATGTTGACCTTTTACTATACACGTTTCTATACTCCTCACTCAACTACTGGATGTAAAGGAAATGAATGGACCGCTTTGTTTCTCATACTGTGCTAGTATTAAAAACAAATGCACATCACGGTAGGAGTATGTGCTGTCAGTCGCCCAATTTTTCGCGTGACAACTGAAATGGTGGGAACATGAGCAGGTTTTCATGTAATTGTGACCCATTATATTTTGCTAATTTGCTTCTGCGATTGGCCTGTTGTTTGATCTCTTATGTGTTGTGAGGACATCCTCTCACTGTGTTTCTGTTAACGGTTGTTGGGGTTATGAGTAGAGGTGACAGGTATTTGTTAAAGCCACGAAACATTAAAATTAAAATGGAACTCGTAGTAGATGTGTCAACTTTACAGCATGTTTATGTAAGTCACAGGACATTATACTGCATCTTAAATGCCAGTGAATACTACTAGTAGAATGCGGTGTGCCACTCCTCTGAGCACTCTTGTCCCTCTCCCTAAATATTCTCATTTTAATTCAGCAAATCCGAGACGGTACTGAGGAACCTAAAAAGTATTCCTGTTTTACTCATAATTTTCTTGGTTCTCTCAGTCTTGGTCTCCCATATCCTGCCCTCCCATTGCAGTATGTGCATGAATGTTTTGGAATGCATCACATCCCTGTGCCAAAGCAAGGCCATTGCTGGGAGGGGTAGGGAGGGAGGGAGTCCTTCAAGATGTCGGCGCCATGAGCATCACCTCCCTCCCCCGGCCCTCCCCTCCCCTGGCCCGGCCCCAACTGAAGCGCGCGAGGGGCGCCTCGCCAGACTGCAGCGTGCACTGTATTCACAAGTCGTCACCTGCTCCAACCGAAAAAGAAAATCCCGGCCAGGAAGTGATTTGTAATTAACTGCTGGTCTTTGCCCCCTCCCCTCCCCCTTTACCCCCTGTCTTATCTACTGGGGTGTTTGGCCTGTGATTGTTTGTTTAGTGCGGACTGCCCCGCCCAGGCGTGGCCGAGCGCTGCGCAGAGTGGCGAAGCAGCCAAGTGACCGACACTGACCAGGCGCGTCTGCTCTGTTTCAGCAGCCGGCCCGCCCCGCGCCGCCCGCGCCCTCCGCCGGGGAGCTGCTGCCGAGCCTGATCCCGGGACGTGCGGCCCGCCCCCGCCGCTGCGCCCCGCCGCTGCCGTCGACCATGCCGTCGTCGCAGTGACACCGAGGTGGCGCCGGTCGCCCTGCCAAAGGTGCCCGCCCGCTCGCTGCCCCCCGTGCCGCCCTCAGCGGCAGGACCCACCTCCCAGGTGAAGGCAGGCCCGCTTTGAGCTCCCCGAAGTCCCTCCCCCCCCTTCTCTCGGACTCCGTTCACTAAGCACCTGGTGTGTTGTTCTGTCCGCAGTGCACCCAAGCCATCGCCATGTACTCGTGCCCCTTCAGCCAGCTGTCCCTGGGCGACAACCGCCGGGGCAGCCAGGACAGCCACCGTGGCTCGGCGTCGGGGCCCTCGCGCCAGGGCTCGCTGCAGGCGGGCGCCGCGCCGGGCGCAGCCCTCGTCGAGGAGGACGCCGAGGACGTCAGCACCCTGAAGCTCAAGCACCTCAGCGAGGCCGTGTCCCTTCTCAGCGACCCACCGGTGAGTACTGCTACTTCCCTTTTCCTTGCTTTGGGAGCAAAGGACCCGCGTTTTTCCGTGTTTAGGAGACAGAGTGTCCCTTTTCATCTCGGCATAAAGAGACGCTGCGCGCTCTTTGTGGTTGCCGGACGCTATTTTAAAACAGCTCTTAACTACCGGGCGTCGCTTTGCATGCGGATTATCCTCGTGTAGCGGACGTATAATGAGGACCTTTGCAGGAGGGGAGGGAGCGATAGAGTCTCTTTATTACTGCTTTTAGAGGGCCGGGGCTCAGGGCCGCCGCGCTGGTGCAGCAATCCGTGTTCCAATCCCTATTTGAGATCCACCGCCGCTCTGTGTATATCTGCCGCTGGTCCACAGAGGGTTTGAGTCTAGCGCTTTCGCAAACACGTTGGCTGGTGCCAACACCACCACCACCACCCCAGTCCAGCCCAGCCCACCCCCTGCTGACCACAGCTGGGACCGACACACTCTGAGCGCGCTTGTTTGTGGATGCTTCGCCCTGATGGAGCGCCGGGACCGCCACAAAAATTGAAACTGACAAAAACAAACACGGTTTAGTGGATTAGCCGCGCGGCCGCCGCAGAGATTCGAACCCGCGACATGCCGGCCGTGTGTGGCGTGGGGTGTTGTCGGCGGCGCTGATACGGGCTCGCGTGGCGGGCGCTGCTGGTGCTGGTGGTGATGTCCACCATATTGATCAGACTCGGTAAATGGACGATCGTATCTCGGAGAGGGGGGAAGGGGGGTCGTGTGAGCGAGTGGAGGGGG